GGTGGCGCTTGCGTCCTCCTCGGCCTCCCCCTCCCCCTCCCTTCGCGTGGGTCAGATCTTCGAGGCGTCTGTCAGGGATGGACGATTCCTCCAGGGGGTCTCTCGGGCGATGGAGGCGCGCGCGCACGCCCAGACGGGGAAGCTTTAGAACTTTTTCAAGGACGCCCGAATCATGCAGGGCAGGCGCAAGATTTTCCTTTTCCCTTCCCTTCCCTTCCCTTCCCTTCCCTTCCCTTCCCTTCCCTTCCCTCTCTCTCTCTTTCTTTCTTTTGCCTGCTTACCATCACTGCCAGTCTCGGAGGTGCCACCAAGACACTTTGGTACAAGGCTGAAACTGGTTATTTATTTTTGCGAATGTTCGAAAGATCTGAGGCGCATATGAAGTATTAACCTAGCTTTTTCTAAACTGCACCTAAAAATAACCATTGGACTAAATAATATCTTTCTTTAACCACGATTCTCTGTCCTTGAAAACAGACACTACTGAGATAACTGACATTGGGTTTCTGCATGAAAATGGAATCATGATAACCCCAGCCCTATATAATAACTCACATAGTGCCTTTCCCACTTTCTCTTAAGAGCACAAATAGACCCTGACAGCCCCTCTTTTCTGCCCCATTTGCAGAATGTTAGCTTCATCTCATCCCTGCCCATAAGTGAAACAGGGTTGCCACCCTCAACTATGCTCTCATTAAACTAGGGTATCTCTCCTTAAGCAAATTAGCTTTGCTTACTCTAGCCGATAATTGAAACTGTATCTTATTAAATGGATTATAGTCCATCTAAAATGAGGCCTGAACACATGTATTCATTTTTAAAGCAGCACAAGGTTTTAATAAGGAGGAAGAATATTGCTTGTTATCTACATAGCAGCCAGCAATTGGTTTATTTGTATTTCTCTTTTGATTTCAGTTTATAAGCCATTCCATGTCCAAGGACTCTCAGCAGTTTACCACATTGGCACAAGTGGGATTACAATTAACCACAGGACTAATTCATAATAAAATTACAGCCAATCCAAAGGACCATCGTTTGGGGGGAGCATGGTCTTATTCACTTATCTCTGAATGCCTTCTTGAAGCGCCATATTTGGCAGTTTGGAAATTTAATATGGAGAGAATGGTCTGAATGTCTGGGGTGGGCATTCTACTCCATTGAATGTGGGCTTATAAAAAGGCATAATTTTGATAATGGAGTTCAGTTTTGGATCCACTTCTGCTCCAAAGAAGTCAGCAGCATGGCTAGTGAAACAGTGATGCATATTCACTGTCTCACAAGGCATTTCCTAGAAACCATCTCCTCAATGCCAAAAGATTATTTTGGTGTTTCCAGGGCTCTCTCCTGGTTCCATGTACAGAGGGTGTTACTGAATCTTACTTGATCACTAGTAGCAATGGGTCAACATCTTCTGCTATGCATAAATGGAGAGGGAAAACAATTGGGCTATGTCTCAGCCTCCAACATCACACAGAAACAGAACTTTAACATTGCAAACATATATATGTCTGCTATCCAGAAATAAGTCCTGCTGAATTCAAAAGGACCTGCTATATATTGGGGGAGGTCGAAGGGAGGAGTCTGCTGCGGCAAAACTGAGAATTGCCTTACCACATTCAGGACATGATCCAATGGTGCTTTTGACTGTTTAGACATGTCCGAGCTCTCTCGAAAGAAACCACCTTAAAAAGCAACCTATACATGTAAAAATACATGCATGATAATAATGTTGGTTTGGCATTAATATTTTAATTCTATAACTATTGAATCAAGAGATCTATTACTCTGTACAGTCAAAGAGAGAAAATCTAACTCATACTTAGAAATAAATGCCACCAATTTCAGTATACTTTTAAAAGTAAGGATGCCTCGAATTAAGTTTGACTCCTAGTGACTTTTTTTTTTTTTTTTGGTGCCTTCAGGTCAGTTTTTGACTCCTGGCAACTACCTGGACTAGTCCCTGCAGTTTTCTTGGCAAGGTTTTTTGGGAGTGGTTTGCCCTTGCTTGCTTCCCAGGGCTGAGAGAGGGTGACTAGCCCAAGGTCACCCGGCTGGCTTCGTGCCTAAGGCAGGATTAGGACTCACAGTCTCCAGGTTTCTAGCCTGGGGTCTCAACCACTACTCCAAACTGACTCTAGTGACTAGAGGGACATATTCATATAGTTTTCTTTGGCAATACTACAGAAGTGTTTTGTCATTACCTTCTTCTGGGTCATTATTTATGTCCAATCTAACCTATAGTGCTGGGATTATCATAAATTATTGCACAGTTATCAATTAATTTTGGTTTAGAAGAAAAATCAGTAAAATGTAATCTATCAGCTTATAATAAGTTTGCTGTTACAGTTTTATCTGAAATTTTTATTTATTTATTTATTTATTTATTTATTTATTTATTTTTATTTTGTCTAACAAACCAGGCCAATACTGATCAAATTAAAAATAAGAGATGAAGGATATACTGAACAGATTCTATGAGATGATAAACAGATAATTCCATTTGTAAAATTCCAAGTAAAGAGAGTAGAGTAACATATATTGATCTAAGTAATAAAAAAAGGAGTAAATCCACATTTAAGTAAAACTTATTTCAGAAATTTCTGGATCAAAGGCCTTTTCCACATCTAGTGAAACTAATATCACTGATTTCAATTTTTGTAAATGTGTATTAATGTCAGTTAGTAATCTAAGATCAAAGGGTTGGTGACCTTTTATAAAAACAGATTGTGATATTTTTTTTTAATTAAAAGAATGCATATACTGTTCTGATCTAATGACACTGCTCGGATAATCAAAGGAAATAATGTTTGTACTGTATACTATTTGCCAGTTTTGCTATCAATATTTTTGTTCTGATATGCTGACTTCATGCCCAGACCAGCACATTAATAAATCTCCAGATATTTCACCTCATATTTCTGGAACTTGATTATAAACAGGAACTTCATAAGGTATGACTAGGTATCTAAGTTGTTTTCTTGCAGAAAAATCAGAAGTCATAAATACAGAGAAGACCTGCCTGTATCAAGATCTGTCTATATGTCTCATCCAATATTCAAATTCTAGGTAATTTCTCTGCCTTTTCAAGTCAAGTGAAATGTGGATGTTCTTTTTCTGGCCTTGATAGTGGGAAACATTGCTTAATAAAGATTCTGTCTAGGCTGAGAACCAGGGGTTCCCAGTTCACCAGTTTCCGTTTTTACACAGTATTTAACAAGGAAATCAGATGATAGCTTTCAGATCTTTAGCAATTTTCAGAATTTCAGATATATAAGTCTCACTAGAGGAGGTTGGAAAAAACCTTATTTAACAAAGCATCATTATTTAATGTAATAGTATCAGGGCAAAGAACTCAACATGTCTTATATCACACAATGGAATAACCATCTGGACCAGAAGACTTTCCTATTTTTATAGATTTAATGGTATCTATTATTTATTGGAGAGAGAATGGTAGGGCTAAATAAACAGCTTGATCTTGTGTAATCTTAGAAAAAAATATCTCGTACAAAATTGGATTAATTTCTTTCTTGGTTACATTTCACCCAGTATTATAAAATCAAGAATAAACATTAAACATTGGTAATTGAGTCAGGAGCATTACATATTTTATCTTGGTTGTCCTAATAGTAAAGATAATATTACATTGTATTATTGTATCAGCTAATAGTTTATCAGGTTTTTCACCTTGCTTCCAATAATTTTGCATTATATTATTCAATAAATATTATTAATTATTTATTTAATTCAATTTAGGCATCACCTGACTCCAACTGACTCTGATTCTATTTAAAGTGCATAAAGAGAATTAAGTTCCTATTTAGCATTCATACAATCTTCATAAAATTCTGTGGTATGTTGAATTGCATATGTGCTCAAATGTTTCCTCATTTTTTTCCCCATATTCTTTTTAACTTTTTTCCTCTTTTTCCAGGAAGCTTAAGCAATATGACCACTATAGATCCCTTAAAGGTGCTCCAACAACCCATAAACGAATGTCTATTTATAAGGTAAACAACCCTTCAAACCTGCTGCATCTGTTTTATAATTAAAGTTATATTTTAATATCATCTAGAAAAAAAAAGGTCAATTTCCAGTAATATGGCAAAATGCTGAATTTATCCATGTAAATTGTTGTTACAATATGTCTGTGGTCAACATCATCTTCCTGGATGATGGATCAAGCAAATGGCGCTTGAATATCAGTTCCAGACATTCTTTTTTTTTTCAAATAATTTTATTAAGAATTATAAATGAAAAGAATAAAAGCTAACACAGGCTACAAAAAATACAAACAGAATAATAGAAAAGAAAAGAAAAAAGTATGGAAAAGAAAAGAAAAAGAAAAAAGAAAGAAGTAACTTCCCCCTTCATCCCAGCAAGTAAAGACAATCTTAATAGCTTATCACTATTTCTAAATGCACATAATCTCTCTTCACCCCATATCTCATCTATTGAATAAAAACACAAAAAAACAAAATCCAAATGCTTCATCAGTTTGTTCTTTATCAGCAAAGTCTCAGTTCCAGACATTCTTCAATGAAATGGATCCATTTCAGTTGGGGATATATCTGTTTTAACCAGGAATTGGGTCTGTTTTTGGCAAAGTATTTAATTTATGCCTTCCTAGATGATGGGTCGAGCAAATGGTGCTTGAATGTCAGCTCCAGGCATTCTTCAATTAAATTAATCAATTTCACTTGGGACTATATCTATTTCAACCATGGATTAGACCTGTTTTGGCACTTAAACTATCTTAGTTGTCCTGTAGAATGATCTTTGCCTAGAATACAGTCTTGTTGATTTGCTCGGATGTTTCAGCAGCAATTGATACCAATAACCATAGTATCTGTCTAGAGAGGCTGAATTAGGTTTTGGTGGTTCTTCTGGATGATTTCTGTTCAAATTCATGGCATTTACGGAACACAAAGAGCCTTTTAGCAGTTTAGGCTACTGCACTATCTACAAACATACATGCACAAAGATAGTCTCAGTAATTCATGCTTTTATACCTTCTAATTTAGATTATTGCAATGAGATTTTTGTGCAGCTACCTATAAGATAACTAGAAATTTCATTTATTGTATTTATTAGAAGGGAACACAATCCAACATTAAGATGACCCACTCCTCAAATAAAGAGTAGACAGAAATAATCTATATAAATGGAGACAAAAATCCTATCCAGAGCCAGCTTCCCACACTGTTAATTTAGACATGCTAACATCAGTCTAAAAACAGACCTGGGTATTTCCTCATATTAGATAAGCATGCAGATGGGACACACTTGCACACGTGTGTATGTGTGTCTATATGCTACACACAAACCATACATTAAAAGACAGAAGGCAAAAAAAAAATTGAATAAGTACTGATCAACATTAATTGCTTAAAGTGCCGTATTTATAAAATTGATTCCCCAGCTGTATATCCCAACTGTTCCCTTTCATACATACAATCCAGTCACAGAAAAATATGCATACACATTGCAGCAAGGGGACTGATTGTAATTGGACATTATCAACATATTTGGCCAGTTTAATGATTTTCACTGGTTCCTATTTCATTTCTGGTTGCAATTCTAGTGCTGATTTTAACTTATCAAACCCTTGGGATTACAATACCTGGCAGAATGCCTCGTTCTACTTCTATTTCTTCCATCTGCACCCTAAGTTCATGTTCATAGTTTTGCTCTGGGCACCCTCTGGTGTTGAAGATGGCAGATGGAGGGGGCTTTTTCAGTGGTAGCCCCTCCTATTCCGGAATTGCCTTTCCAGGAAGATGTGTCTGGCATCTAGCAAAGATGGTTACAGTATATTCTTCTGAGCATTTTAATATATCTCTGTTAATTTCAAATGTGTACGCTACTTAGACATTTTAACTACCCTGGCTTCTGCTGTTATTATTTTATTGTAGGTGTTTCTTTGATTCCCATTGTGAAAGGTAGGCTTCAAACCCGACATTTGCAGCTGGCCAGTCCAAATGACAGATGGACAGCCTCTGAACACCCACCTTTTTCTCAGGGATGGCCTTTCACGTCTTTAGAAAAGGCAGTTTCACCCCAGTCCCTCTGGGGAAACTGAGCAAGAAGTCGTGTGCTGTGGTGGAGAGGAGGAGAAAGCCACCACTGTTCTCCTCCAGACTCAGACTGAAATGGGGTTTCTGGGAAAAGAGAATTTCCAAGGAACAGAGCTGCAACCAGGGGATCAGGCCAGGCACCTCGGCTTTGCCTGCTTTCTTTCTTGTTCTTCGTTTGGGATGGTTGGGAAGGGGGATGCCAGGCCCTGGGAAAAGCCTGGGCATGAAGCCAACTGGTATGGAAGAACACATTGGGGGGCACATACACCCAGGACGAATGAACTGGGGAACTTGCCCCTGGTTTGGAGAAGGGGGTCAGGACCCGGTGTACGCTTTCAAGCATGCCCTTCGGGAAGGGTCTTCCCACCAAACCCATAACCAGGTTCACAGCTGGTGGCAACGTTCCTTCCCATCCTCTCCTTTCTGGACAAACGAAGAAAACGGGCCACCCTCGAAAGGAGGAAGCGCCGAAACACCTCCTTTTCCCGAGGACAGCCCAGCAGAAGGCAGCGCGCCGTCGACGTCACCTTTCGATCTGTGACGAAAGCGCCCCGCCGCCTGTCGAGAGGTTTTCTCCACTCTATGGCCGGAAGGGATCCTTCTCGCACCCGGAAGTGAACCCCGGTCTTGTGCGGGCAGTGGGGAGGCATGCAGGTCTCCAGCCTCAACGAGGTGAAGATCTACAGCCTAAGCGCCGGCCGGAGCCTGCCGGAGGTGAGAAGGCCGGAGACTGTCTCCTGTCACGCGACCCACCCCCGCCTTTGCCCTGTCCGCGCGCTCCCCCCCCCCCCCCCCCC